AGTATAAAACTTCCAGTAATTGAAGATGTGATATTTCCTTTGTCAAAAGAATATTTGTTGGGGTATTTTCACAAATGTCAAGTGTGAGAAGTACTATAGCATACTCACCTAAGACTACTCATAAATTAGTACTATAAAGTTGTTTGTCTGAACGTTATAGTGAAATCTTTCCAGTAGACAAAGAGTAGGCTTAAAGATTGTATGTGAGCTTATCACTGGTTGCATTAATTAAAGTTATTTTGTGGAAAAAATTAAGTTTCAGAGAGTAAAAAATTGCAGTTTTGGATTGCAGCAGAATCCACCTGGAAACATACAGAAGTGAAGATTCTGTGCACCCACTGAAACATACATTATGCCTATTGCAGGTCTTTCTTTAGGCATGAAATCTTATCTAAATTATTAATTAGACATTGATTAACATATCCAGACCATATTGAACTCTTGATGTCATCATTAGCCTGTGATATTTAGTGGATTTGAATCCATTTTGTGATGGATAATTTAAGGTAAAAATGAATAATCAAGAGTTTGTTTATTATCGTACAAACATTAGTAATGACAATTGAGGCTGGCCTAAAATTGAATCACAAATATCTGGGTTCAGAATGATGAAATTTTCAGTATATCCTGTTTTCATTATCTATTTTTTAACTATTATAGCAAGAACTGTCAGCTCTTTATCTAATCTTAACTAATGCCCCTTTCAGTTTTAGTAAATTTGTGACTAAGCATCAGCCCCAACACTCAATAAACTTGACTTTTATGAACATGTTGGGATAAATGTGTGATATTTTGTTTTCTACTTAAACTGGTTTGATATTTCAGGGGCGGATCTAGGGAAGGGGGGGGGTGTGTCCAAACCACACCCTGCTCAGCTACATAAAAAAATTGTAAAACAACACTTTATGAGAAAAGTGTGACGGTTGTGTGCTTTATCCATTGTCATCAGATGGTGGGATGGGATTGACATTCAAAGCACAAAATAATGATATAGACATGTGTGATATCACAATTAATGCTTTGCATCAATGAAATTGAATCTCAATGTGACCCTATTAATTCATTATAAAAATTGACATCAAACAGAGTGTTGGCCTACGTAATTTATAGATGATGTTGGCATCATGCATTGTCAAAGTTAAAGTTCCTTAACATGAGCCTGGCAAACCCCTTCCTGCAAAAATGTCTGGATCCGCCACGGTATTTTATTGTTATAAACTATATTACAGGAATGTTATATTTAATTGTGATAGCTTGTATATTACTAAAATGGTGCATGTCATAAAACAATTTAGCAGCAACCAAATTATTCATCGGTGTTGTACTGAGTAGCACCAGAGATTATAAATGAAATACCAAAGCCTCAATATGCATAATGTCTAATACATTGTATATAACATCTATCATTCATATATCTTAAATGAAGCTCTATATTCGTCTATGATTTTGTACATCTTTTTACAATAGAAATCTGAGGGTGTTTTTAGAGCTGTTGAAAGAACAAAAGCAGTTCTTTTCTATTTTTGGTGCTTATAGCTCAGAACTGCCATAAAATTCATCATATAGATAAATATCCACTTCTTGTACCCATCAGCATGTAGGCAATTCTTGAGGTAAATAAATCTAGGTGTTTTTTAAAATTGTCTCTTTTTTATTGTTTGAGAATTGGGTTTGATAACTTTGATTTAATAAAGAATCCACCAACCAATGAATCCAGCATGTTTCATTTACCCTATGTATCTCTGGTTGGAAGGAGGATAAGTATTTACATTACCAAGTTTCATCAAAGTCAAATATTACAAGTAGGCTCCAATGTGTGGATAGAAATACAAATCGTGGTACACATCCACATGTGGACAACAAGAGCATTGCTACTGCTACAATATACCTCTACATTCCTGCTTTGACTGATATGGTACTTTTTAAAATGAAGAGAATGAAATATGAAATGGCTGCAATAACTGTAATATGACAAGAGGCTAAGCGTTGGGTTAGTTTCCCAAATTTACAGACTAAATAATAACAAAAAAGTAGGACACCGCCTGGGGGGTTGGATGGCCAAATGGTTAGCACGTGCGCGCTGTATCATAAGGTCTGTCATTAAGTCAACTGGTGTGGTTTTGATTCCCCGGTTGTACGTGTCAAGGAGTAGGGTCGCCTGTCCAACCTTGTGTGTTTTCTCCCACTTCTAAAGACACCTATGCGCCAGCGAATTGTTGAAATAAAATTGAACCATGTGTTAGTCCCGTAATGACCTAGTTTGTGTAGAGTAGACAATAAACCCCATTGGGGCATGCACGAAAATAAATAGTTGCTCTCCTTACTATAAAGAATAAATATGCCTGGTTCCAAGATAATCCATTCAGAATTCCAGCCTGTAGACAAAAAACACAAAAATTGGTCTGGCTCTGCTGAAATGAAACATAATATTTTAATAATTGCAACCTTTAGAGTATTTACAGACAAAATATTAACAAAAAAAGTAAGTGTGTCACTGTCCAAGGGAGTTGGATCATGCAACAAAATCAATAGTCACCGTCCTTATGCCAAGTTCCAAGAGGATCCTTTCAAAATTGCAACCTGTATACGTTAGACAGAAAAATTGGACATGGCTCTGCCCCTAGGGGTCGGGACATGCACCAAAAACAAAGTTGCCTTCCTTAGTCTATAAGGAATACATAATATGCCAAGTTCCAAGTTGATCCATTCAGAATTGCGGCTGTATATGATAAACAGAAAAATTGGGCGTGGCTCTGCCCCAGGGATTGGGCACTTGCACCAAAATCAATAGTTGCCGTCCTAAGCCATAAGGAATAAATATACCAGGTTCCAAGATGATCCATTAAGAATTGCTGCCTGCAGGCAACACACAGAAAATATGGGTGTGGGTTGGGGATTCATCAAAAACAATAGGGATCATCCTTAGGGTATAAGGAATAAGTATGCAAAGTTTCAAGATGATTTGTTAAGAATTGCTGCCTGTGTAATACTATAAGGTTTATTTTAGCTTTAAGAAAGGTGTTCTGTTTAATATAGAAATTCGTTACCTACATGATGTGTGACGAAAACTAGGGTAATGAAGTAGCTCTACTATCTTAGACTAACTCACCGACAGTTATGTCAGTATCCATTGCTGGAAGTAGGGTACTATAGTCCAGTTATCTTGTGCCCAGATTAGTACAATTAACTAGAATAGTGTTGACGTAAAACGGTGCCTATACGAAACACTTACCCAAATATGGTAATTGTCCTGCCCTAATAGATGACGTATTATCTATATATATATTTGTGACTGTCGTTTGTCTGTCTGTCTGTTCGGGGTTGGCGGCTACACTAGGTCTGCCCCGAGTCTGAAATTTGGGGTATAGGGGTAGCTCGGACCGGGGAGTAACATAGGCCAGGTGGCGTTAGTCTACCACTTCCGGTTTCGGAGTTATGACCCCCGAGCGAAGCGCGGTTGGCGGCTACACTAGGTCTGCCCCGAGTCTGAAATTTGGGGTATAGGGGTAGCTCCGACCGGGGAGTAACATAGGCCAGGTGGCGTTAGTCTACCACTTCCAGTTTCGGAGTTATGACCCCCGAGTATCCTGCTAGTATTTTATATATAGGAGAGAGCTTGTTTGATTTACCCTCAGATATCATGATGAGACCGTAGGGAAGACCATCATTCAGAGCTCAGGGGAACATACCCATAGCCTCCTTATGTAGAACTAGCAAGAAGTATGTGGCTCTTGCCACGTTTAGGCCGTTAGGTCTGAGTCAGAAAGGATATTTAACTCAGACCGTGGATAATTTAATAACTCGAAAAGTACTATCATAACTTTGTAGTTTGCTGTATTTGTTTATTAATATAAACTTAGTAACAACATAAACGGTGTTCCAGAGGCAGTTAATTGATGATTGAAATAATTGATCCCACAACGTGAAGTCAAAGAAAGTCATAGACAATAATGTCACAGCTACCCCAAAGTGTACTGTCACACAATGTAACTCTACCCATAGTGTCACACACACACATAAATTGGGTGTGGCTCTGTCCCTGGAGGTCGGGCATGCACCAAAAATAATAGAGCTCATCCTTAGGGTATATTAGTATAAGGAATATGAAAAGTTTTCAAGATAATCCCTTAAAAATTGCGACCTGAAGGCGACACACAAAGAGAAAATGGGTGTGGCTCTGCCCTTGGGAAATGGGCATTCACCAAAACAATAGGGATGACCCTTGGGGTATAAAGAATAAGTATGCAAGGTTTCAAGATAATCAGTCAAGAAATGCAGCCTGTAGATAGTAAACAGACGCATACAAAATTAGATGTGGCTCATCCTTAGGGTATGAGGAATAGTACAAAACAAAAAGTTTTAAGACAATCCATTGTGACCTGTACGTGATAGACACACACAGAAACTGGGCGTGACTCTGCTCCTGGGCATCGGGCATGCAAAGTTTCAAGACAATACAATAAGAATAGGCGCCCTGTAGGTGACACATACAAACACACCCACAGACTGGTGCGATGGCATATTTTATTACGTCCACATTCATATGTGGACGTATAAAAATGACTAATTCTCACTGGGATACAACATTGTAAGTTGTCTGATAAGGGCTGTCAAATTCTTTGTCGATAACGAAAGTATTTACAAGACACTAAAAAGTAAAACTGATTAAAAGTAAGAACCCATTAATTAATTATCAAGTTGTCATTAGAAATTGTTTGGTCCTAGCTAACGTTTCGTATACAAACGTACTATGAATTTAGCTGTTCAAGTTATGGGAATCACTAAACAGGCTATTTTATCTCATAACCGTTGACACTGTGTATAAATGTAAAGGCAAACAGATAATAACTTGAGCCTCCAGAGCAGAGCGTCCACAACACAATTCAAAGTGATCAATGGCCATAACATGTGCGCATATAAATATTATATTAAATGTTATCCATTTCTTGATCCAATTAGGCAATCTCACTTTGCAGTTTATTGAAATAAAAAATAATATATATATTCATAGATATTTATTTGAAAAGACATGAAGATTATTAACAAACCATGATTTATCAGTTGACGATGTGACAATTTATGCATGTGTATGTTTTCTTAAAACAGTTAATTGATGGAGCAATAATCAAATCAATATATGCTTGAAGCATACTCAAAATGATGCATAATTAAAATTTGACTCTTTATTTGTAGTTTTAAAAAAAAGAATGTACAGAAATCGTAACAAACACCCATTCCAAATCACTCATCTGAGAAAATTCGAGTTCCACACTAGACTAAAAAATACTTTCATAAAAAAATTACACAAACTTGCCAAAGCAAATAACTACTGGTGGCTTTATTAGCACTACAAAGTAAATTATCAAATAAAGCAAAATTTAATGTTAAATTATAAAGAAATAATAATTTCAACATATACTAAAACAGAAATACTGAAAGACTTAGAATTCATTTATAAAGAGATAAATCAAGACACAAATAGTATACTCAGCTTTACAGCTTCCAGTGGCAGACAGTGGAAAAACACATGACTACACAGTGTAAGAGATTATCCAGACAGCTAATACTTGCTTGTTATATGCAATTATGCTGACTAGTGCAAGATAAATGTTTGTTTATTGCAAACTAGTTTTAGAAGTTTTCAACAAAAAAGGCACATTTTTTTTTCTTTTACAACTACATAGGAAATATTCTGAACAATTGTAAATTGCCAAAAATTAATTGATATTGGTGAAACTGAATTTCAAATTCCTTGCTTTCTTCTTGAATTAATCCTCCAGAAATTACATCATGATTTGAATTAAAAGAAAAACAAGACTAATAAAAGGAAGACAAACAAGCCAACAGTGAGGCTGATGTCCCCAGTCGAAATCCCGAAATAACTAGACCACACATTAATTAATTGCACGTTTAGCTTTTTCAAAAGTATCGAGCAATCAAACTGATTATCAACTATACACTAAGTTTCATCACTCTCTATCAGACAGAATCAAAGTCAAAGAAATTGCTTAGCTTTGTTAATCATTGAACTCAGTCAAGACATTCACCTAATGAACATCAACATCAAGTTTAAACATTCTACCTCAATTAAAGGCAGAGTTGTTATGTTGCAAAGTCTTGACCAATCAAATTCCTTATCGCTCCTTAGCCTAAGCAGAAAATTCTGATCAAACTTAGTCAAGGTAATGATATAATGAATCTATATTCAGAGTTTCATAGCTCTCATTTAATTATAACCAAAGTTATCGTGCCTAAAAGCATCAGCCAATCAAATTGCTTATCACTGCTTACCTTAAGCAGACAATTTTCATCATTGAACTCCATCAAGGCATTCACCTAATAATGCCTACACTAAGTTTGAACATTCTACCTCAATTAGAAGGAGAGTTATTGTGTTTCAAAGTCTCGACCAATCAAATTTCTACACCATGTGTAAACATTGTTGCTCAATTAGAAGGAGGGTTACTTGTGTCCCAAAAAGTGTGACAGATGGACGGACAGACGGACGAGCCCATTTCAATAGTCCCCTGCTTTCTTCGAAAGTCGGGGGACAATAAATAAGGTTATATAATTATAATTTAGTTAAATAAAAGTTTGTAGATCCAAACCAAAAAAAAAATAGGCTGACCTTCCCTTTAGCGATTGGCTGCTTCATCGGAAAAAAAACAATCACTAAAGCAAGTATATAAAACAATCACTCAAAATACAAATGAGAAAAAATAAGTCACATAATTAACTACATATCCTGTATAATTCATAAGAAATAATATGGATAATTATATATAATATATAGTATTTATTTACATAATTAGGATGTAACACACATAAAACCATATTTTACAAAACTTAACACATAAGCATGCATGTAATATTAATTATTAGATACACACTGTACTTACTGATTCTATTAATATGCTGGACAAATGAGTTGCTGGTTTATAGGGTTTGTGAAGTTAGGGTTAAATGCTTTGCAAAGTTAACAATGGATAAATTCTAAAAGAACATAATGTTTATGTATGAAATAGGAATATCAAGTGGGTTATCGAAGGGTTAAATGTTTTTTGAATAAAATCTATATGATCTGTAATTTGATTGTATCAACACGTGTAGTAAATGATGTTTATTCATAGTTTTTAGCAACATTTCATGATTTGAACAATCTGAATCTGAACAATAAAAAGTCTAGCCATTGGCAGTAAAACAAATACACCCTATATTTATTAATAACCTGAATTCAAAAACCTTTGAACACCAATAAAGATTTGTTTTAATAAATATCTCAGTAAAGTTTCTATAAGAGACATAATAGTAAAGCATTCTAGGAAACCCAACATATCTCATTTACCACTTGACTGCGGTGTGCCATATGGATTTTGTTTTATTTTCTTGCTACTGAGGGTTGTTTCAAAATAGAAATATGTAAGATGCTGTAATTATTTCACTAACAAAATTACCACATATACCTCAGTACCTAAATAAACAAAATCACTTGACATGTTGTGGTTGGAAAAGATGGGTTTCAGAGAATGACAGCAAAGCAGAATACATATTTCACACTTATCCAGTGTGCATAGTACAACAGAGTGTTTTTGCCTTGATTTGATATTAAACCACCATTATTTAACATTTCCAAACAGTCCTAAAATAGCTCACAAACTATTTATATCGTCTTTTTTTAAATTCTTTATGCTTTTTGTGTATCCCTTATCCTATTTATACTTCGGTCAAATTTTGATGAATTTGTTCATTTCAGATTAACAAGATTTTTGTCCCAAAAAACATGATAATTTTTAGCATTATCCCAATTTAATAATATATATTTTAAAGTGTTTTTACACATACAACCTATAAATTAAAATTTCTTCTTTGGAAATTCTAATTGATCAACAGTCTTTCACAATCAGTCAAGATGGCTAAATATGACTGAAATGAGAGCCCTGCTTTATATGGCATATCATGTATTATTTTCTGCCATGTTGAAACACATTATTAATATACATGTCGATGTAGTTAGTGATAAGCATACACTTAATATAATCTTAAAGATATGTTCACTGAGGTTAATTAGGTCATTTAGTCCAAACTGAAAATATCTTATTTCTTATGACCTAAATAATAAATAAACAACATGAACTGAAAGTGATTAGTAAGCTAACAATAACAAAAATAAGAACTAAATTGTTAAATGACAACCGCAAGTATTGCAGACAACAGCCATACACTGTCAAGGAAATGTATGGTCTTATTTCAGTGACAAGACTTCATTTTGTAAATTGAAAACAGTTCCTATGCTGCTCGATAACAATCAAGGGCAAATAGGCAGAAGTACTATGAACACTTGACAATTTAAAAGAGGCAGAAAACAGAACCAAACAATATTGAGGTAGAGAAACATCAACAGAATGTAAGCAGCTTAACTACAGACACTAATATGGTGACAATTTATTCTTTTCCTAACATATATGAATTGTTTCAATGGCATTTGGTACTTAAACCAGAAATACACAGATCACAATTTTATAGAATACTGGAGAGTAGCCTAGTCAAAAAGTCACTCAGTAATAAACAGTAATTGTATTCCATAGAATTGTGACCTGTATATATACTGACATATATAGTTCGGTAAATTTAATTTCAGTATCCATACACATGAAATAATTATTTTTCTATATCTACAAAGCATGGTATGCAATTAAATTCATACTTAATGTATAAGACTAAATACAATCGAAGTAGAATCATATAAGATTTATTAATATCAAAAATACCCTCGTAGTAAATTTGCAAATGACTTCATGGAGTTGTATCTAAATATTCAACTTTCACAACATGTGCTTACTGATTCATGTTGCTTTTAACCAGCATTAAGAGTCTAATGTATCCGAGACCCCTGATAAAAGACACACACAAGACTTATTTTCAAAGTTTATCAACAACAATAAAATATAATATGTAGTTTATAGAAATGGGGTTTTTTGTATGTTGTTTTTAAAGTGGTCCTGCTACTTTAATATCTATATCCTGATCAATCAACTACTAGTAACTGACAAACTGTTGTTTATCTTTCCATAAATAAGGTTCACTTCAAGTAGACGGCACAATATTTATATCTTTCTTCATGTTTAGTTACAGACACAAACGATTTCATTCAATTATATTAAATTCTCTTTCTATCTCTTTCTTCTACTTTCATTTTACACCTTGTGGAAAAACAGAAAAATCTGTCTTTACCAGCCACAAGGTGGGGCCGCTAGCTTTACTTAGTCTCTTTTGTTGAGATCTAGTTTATAGGGTACCATAAGAGTTTATAATGTAATATGGTACAGTAGAGTTTATATAATGAATATTTAAACATTCACTATATGTCATACAGGTGTACTACGACCAGATTCATTACCATTACCTGTAAAATATACAATATATCATATATACTAAATTAGTTCATTATTCAATATGAACAAGCCAACAATGAGGATTGATGTCCCCTGTCAAAATTCCAAAATAAATAGAAGACACATATTAATTAATTGCAAATTTGTCTTTTTCAAAGGTACTGAGCAATCAAATTGATTGCAGTAGAATTTGTACAAGCAGCCACTGCTATTCATGATAAATCCCCACCCTACATCAAGTTTGAACATTCTAGCTCAATTAGAAGCAGAGTTATTGTGTCCCAAAAAGTGTGATGAACAGATCGATTTTAATAGTCCCCTGCTTTCTTCAGTGGCTGAGTAAGACACTGGCTCACAAAACTATCTCTCTATGTTGGCCGATCAAGTTTCCCAGGATTTTCCAGTATGGTTTTCCTTTGTCAGTGGTGCAGGACGGAAGGCCTGACAAGGAAAAGTGTCTAGTCATTTGGATGGGAAGAAAAACCAAGGTCCCATGTACACGTTTGAATTCAATTGTGGTATAGCTTATGCAAATCTTTATTATCCTGTTTTATGCAGGAAAATAGGAGGTTACTATGGTAAGGCAATGAAATGAAATGGGGTTTAACAACCTACTGTTCTACTCCGACTGGGCTAATGAAGATGGGCATATGCCATACAGTGTGATATGAGGGAAATTTTGCCCGGACGGCAGCACTATGGTCTACTCTTATATCAAATTCCAAATGCCAAGGGATCTTTTAGTGCACACCAATGTGTACACAAGACCTTGCTTTTCCATTCCATCCAAACGACTAGACAGCTGTCCTAGTCAGGGCCTTCGTCGTGCACCACTGACAAGGGGGAAATATACGCCGGAAAATCCTGATGAACTTTCTCAGCCAGCACCGGGACCGAACCTGCGACCACCAGGCTAGCGAACCAGCGTCTTACTCACTCAGCCACCGTGGCTCTCTATCGTAAAGAAGGTACTATTATACAAAATACAATACACTGCAAACGAATGATTTGTCCCCATTACCCTCTGTTGTAGAATCATTATGCTCTCTGTCAATTGCATATGCATTTGTCATGTCCTTTCATCCACAATGAAGTTGCAATAATAGCTTGCCTACTATATTCCTGAAAATTTTGCGAAGATCGGTCAACATTTCTACATTGTTGACAGACTGTGATGTCCATGGATTATTTTGAAACTCTATACATCTATATCTACCTTACTATATATAATTACCTTTATCTAAGGGCCCCCATATTCTAACTGTACCATCATCAGAGGCACTGGCTATCATACTTGGTAACTTGGGATTCCAGTGAACACAATTAACTGTTCGACTGTGACCTTCTAATGTGGCCACTGGAGCTTCTTTTTTACTATGCCATATATAAACTTTGTTGTCTACACAAAAAAATATAAAAATATCAAATTGTTAGCATGGAATATTTTTCGTGAGCTTTAGCTTTACAATAAATACAAGACGCTTCTTCTAAAAGAAAAAACATTCAAGTATTTGTCCACTTCCTTGATGGATGAAATCATTGACAAGTGCTCCAGAATAAACTTGTCAAATAAATCAACAAGTCAAGAGTATTGATGGTTAGCAATGGATAGAGATGGAGATAGGTAGGTGCTCACTGACCCACAATGCCATCTAGGCTCCAATCTAGAATGGGTATGATACGTCCAAATGTTCAGGCACTGTCTAGAGGATAGATGCTGATTGGCCCAGATTGCAATCTCCTCTCCAAATTACTGCAATAATTGATTATTTTGGACCCCATTACTCCTAAAAAGACAATTTTTTAATGATCTTATTTCCTTTAAATTCAGTAGAAAATGGTGACCAGTCATACCCGGTAATCGGGTCACAAATTTAAACGGGCATTATGTAAGATTTAGATAAAGAGCTGGCATTCTCGCTATAATATTTCAAAAATAGATAATGCAAAATAAAGATATTGAAAATTTCATTCAAATTTCTTTATTATGAGCGAAGTTATCAATGGTTGTAGTTTTGACAAGATGTGTGCAATGATCATAACCACCGTACTGGTCATTTGAGTCTTAGTCTTGTTTCTCTATTTTTAAATTAAATCATTAAATGGCAGAATCGTTTAAATCTACTTAAATCAGAGACATAGTAAAATTGCTTCATGTACCAACAGCAGCATTTATTGACATGCCCTGTTCTGTCATTCTTCTCTTTAGCCTTTTGATAATGAAAAAAAAATTTAAATGTTTTGCCATTCCATAATACCCCCCTTTATCACGGATACCGTAAAAATTTGTAATTTTTTAAAGAATTAACTCACTGATATTGAAACAATTGAGGAAATCTGTCGGTTTTGTATAATATTAAAAAAGTATGCTGTTGTATTTGTTTGTTTGGATTAGAATTGGGAGGTTGTTGTTAATCACTGACATTGGTAGTGTTTAGCCTTTAGAATTATCAATATTTGCAAGTTTATGCAAATTAAATAATTTTTATTGATATATTTGAAGTATTCTGTCAGCTTTTCACAATAATGAGGTTGTATTGGGTAAATTGTCCTGGCGATGTCCAGAAATTACAAATCTTTCGGGGAAAATTTACATTGGACAAGCCAACAGTGAGGCTGATGTCCCCCGCTGAAATCCCGAAATAAATAGATGACATATATTAATTAATTGCATGTTTATCTTTTTCAAAAGTATCCAGCAATCAAACTGATTATTAAGTATACATTAAGTTTCATCACTCTCTATCAGATAGAATCAAAATAAACAAGGCATTGACCTAATAAACACATACACCAAGTTTGAACATTCTAGCTCAATTAAAAGTTATCGTGTCCCAAAGCATCAACCAATCAAATTGCTTATCTCTGCTTACCCTAAGCGGAAAATGCTCATCTTCGAACTCCATCAAGGCATTGACCTAATCAACACATACACCAAGTTTGAACATTCTAGCCCAATTAGGAAGAGAGTTATCGTGTCCCAAAGCATCAACCAATCAAATTGCTTATCTCTGCTTACCCTAAGCGGAAAATGCTCATCTTCGAACTCCATCAAGGCATTGACCTAATAAACACATACACCAAGTTTGAACATTCTAGCTCAATTAGGAAGAGAGTTATTGTGTCCCAAAAAGTGTGACGGACAGACAGACGGACAGACAGACGGACGAACCCATTTTAATAGTCCCCTGCTTTCTTCGAAAGGCGGGGGACAAAAATAGTGACGAATGCATGCAAAGGAAATGTATTAATTTAATGTCAATTTAACGAGGGATTGTATATAAGGTAAAGTTTGTTATTTTTCTTAATAACCCTTTAATCACATATCTACATTCTACCATGATAATTTTTGTGGCATTATTTTTTTTTAGTCGTATAATTTTCACCAGTGGTCGGCGAAAGTTTTTTTTTTAAAGTAGAAATAAAAATCATCCATGTACTGTATTTGTCAGGAGCGGTACTTACCTTCACTACCACTTGCTACAAAATCTTGATTTAAACCTCCAAAACAGGAATATATGGTATAAAAACCTTGTGTAACCCCTTGAAATTTCCGTAATAACACTTTATCTTTTAAATCCCATAAATGTACACCCTGGTAAAAAAAAAAATTTAAATACAAAATTTAAGATTATGTCTATAAATATTATCATCACTAAACTAGCAACTTGGATAAACTTTCTAGTACTTTTTATCACTTCTTTTTCTTCCAACTTTTCAGCACATTTTTTCTAGAAATATAAATCAGTTTGATAAACTATAACACATACTTATGGAAGAACAATTACTGATTTATTTGGGCGACGTTTCAAAGAGTATTCTCTCAACGTTTTCAAGAGAGAATACTCTTCGAAACGTCGCCCAAATAAATCAGTAATTGTTCTTCCATAAGTATGTGTTATAGTTTATTGCTCTATCCAGTTACTAAATGCCTCTAAAAGATCATAAATCAGTTTGCTTTTACTTATTATATTCTATGATTAAACAGTTAGGATTTATATATGAGATTTTTTGTATGTGTCAATCATCTACAGATTCTAGATTTAATCATATCAAAAGAAATATGGTTTTACCTGAGTCGCTACATTAACTAAAGCTAATCTGCCAGTATCATTGACAGTGAAAGACATGATGGGATGGTCCTCCTGAAGTCTGTAAGTCATAACAATATTAGAAATAATAAATTGACAGGTATAATTAATAACTTTAGTTTACATAAAATAATTTTGTAAACAAGTGTTAATTCTCTGTGCCAAGACTTTCGACTTCAAAATATTGCCAGATAATTAAATGTTTGCATGTTTTGTTTACCTCTTAATTGAAAGATATTATTTGTATGATATTATTTAAGTGTTTTACACATAAAAAATAACCAGCGGCTGCCAGACAGGATACGCCCACATTTTCGAGAGATGGATAGAGAACAAGCTAAAAAGAAAGTGATTTTTCGTACAATCAGGGGCCATAATTCAGGAAGTTACGGTCCGATATGCGCGAACATTGAAAGGAACCAAGATATAAACTTATATTTCAAGATTCAACAAAATCAGATAAAAAATTGTGACCTCTTTAGGGTCCACAACCTTGAAATTTTGCCTGTCAGTTTTTGGCCGATTTTCCCGAAATTCGATCTCAGTCGTCCATAGGGTGTAACGGTGATATAATAATACGTTTTTTTAAATCGGATAAAAATTATGACCTCTATAGGGTCCACAAGCTAAAAACGTGATTTTTCGTACAATCAGGGGCCATAATTCAGGAAGTTACGTTCCGATATGCGCGAATATCAAAAGGAACCGAGATCTTTTGGTTATAAACTTACATTTCAAGTTTTATCAAAATAGGATTAAAATTGTGACGTCTATAGGGTCCACAACCTTGATATACCATATTTTTACGCTATTTGAGAACGATGGGCGGCCATTTTGTCTGTCAGTTTGGGGCCGATTTTCGTGAAATTCGAACTCAGCCGTCCTTAGGGTCTAACGGTGATACAATAATACGTTTTTTTAAATCAGATAAAAATTATGACCTCTATAGGGTCAACAAGCTAAAAACATGATTTTTCGTAAAATCAGGGGCCATAATTCAGGAAGTTACAGTCTGATATGCGCGAATATCGAAAGGAACCAAGATCTTTGGGTTATAAACTTACATTTCAAGTTTCAACAAAATCGGATAAAAATTGTGACCTCTATAGGGTCCACAACCTTGATATACCATATTTTTACGCTGTCAATTTTGGGCCAATTTTCACGAAATTCGAACTCAGCCGTGTTTAGGGTGTAACGGTGATATAATTATACGTTTTTTTAAATCGGATAAAAATTATGACCTCTATATGGTCCACAAGCTAAAAACGCAATTTTTCGTACAATCAGGGGCCATAATTCAGGAAGTTACGTTCCAATATGCGCGAATATCGAAAGGAACCGAGATCTTTGGGTTATAATCATACATTTCAAGTTTAAACTAAATCGGATAAAAATTGTGACCTCTACAGTGTTCACAAGCTAAAAACGTGATTTTTCGTACAATCAGGGGCCATAATCCATGAAGTTACAGTCCGATACATGCCAATATCGAAAGGAACCGAGATCTTAGGGTGATAAACCTATATTTCAAGTTTCATTGAAATCGGATAAAAATTGTGATCTGTAGACTGTTCACAAACAATTGTGGACGGACGTCCAGATGGACAGACGGGGGCAACGACAATATACATCCACATGAAAATGTGGGCGTATAAAAACAAATTCTAACTGTAATTATTGAGCTCAAAGGTTAAATTCTTTGAAATTTCAAGACTAGCAAATATGACTAAATGAGAGTCCTGTTCTGAACAGGTGGCAAATTGTTTATGATGCATCTCATAAGTTGTGAGATGGGTAAGTAGATAGGTTCATGTGTGACTAAAGATTTAGGAATCCAGCCTAGATAATTTATATAAAATATATCCATTCCTGGATGTAAAGATTATTTTAATTATTCTTCAAAACTTACATATTATAATCATGTTGATCATCAAAGTTATATGCTCTGATCCTGTGATGTGTATCAGCAGCTAGAAATAATTTAGTGTCATTTTGACAAGCTAAACACTGTACTCGTACACCTTCCCAATTATCTAACATCGTACCATCTATATCCTGTAAATACAACAATCAACTACAGTTAATTTTAATATAAAATTAGATCCTTGAAAACAACAGTTTGAGGCTCTAAATCTATTTGGAATATTTGAACAAGCAAGAAGTAATTCTAATTAGGACTTGGAATTAGCGTATATTTCAAATTTCATACGCCTTCGGATCAATATTTGTACAAAATTGATTTTTTGCATATACTGTTTAATTTTACTTAGGTATACTAATCTCTAAACTACGAAGTCCTTAAATTCCATACTGTGTAAGTGCCTTGATAACCCCAATGTTATAGTAGCGAGTGATCTTGTGATTATCAAGTCAGCCATACAAGAGAAATATGAAACTTTTTAAATGGGTTACATAACCCTGTTAAGCAAATCAAGTGTTTCTGAAGATTATTATTTTGATTGAAATTTTCATACACTGTAATATTGTTTCAGTTGTCCACTATTTTAACATCCTACTGTTCTGCACCGACTGGACTAATGAAGACAGGACTATTCTATGTACTTACACATATATAAAACTGGCCTCTGGTTCCACCTGTGACAAATTTTTTACCATCAGTATGCCAAGCTGCACTTGTTAAACTATCATCTGATGATTGTGTTATTTTCTGTCGTAATTCTCCTGTCTGTAAAAATACACATTCCATAAATTTCATGACATCAAAAATATAACTGTGTACTAATTTTACACTAAATGATGACCAAACAATTATACTCTATTGAGTTTGTAACACATGCTCACACCTGGACATAAGGCAGCTGTCATAGACTTTGTCAGGCAAAAATTATTACACAACAAATATATCATAATATATACATTTGCAATAATTTGTGTCTTGACAATGTCTATGACAGGTGCTTTATGTCCAGGTTTATACATATATATAGTGTGATAATTTGTACTTGACAAATTCTGTGACAGGTGCCTTATGTCAAGGTTTGCACTTGCTTCTACTGTACTTACATCAATATTCCACAGTAATACTTCTGAACAGTCATCTGGACCACAGGCTAATATATGAGAACTGTCAGGACTCCAGGCTAAAAATGCCACTCCATAAGTATTATTCTCACAGGATTTCCTATGTCGTAATTCGAAAGTTTCCTACAAATATAATAATCTTATTCATAACAGAAATGTTAACCCTGTGGATTACCTTGATAAAGAAAGAAAGAGAAATCTTAATAAACTCTTTAATGAAAGTTATATAAACTTCTTTCAATGAGGAATTTCAATACTATACTGGTAAATTTGAGGAGTCAATTAATAGTAAGTTCAGGAGAACTGCACTAAAATTTACAAACAGAAACCAACAAGCCCATAAGTAAGCAGTTAATTGGTCCCCTTTTTACAGTTAGTTAAATTGTCTAGATAAATATACACCAAGACAATAAAATAAAATTTTCTATCAAATTAAGAACACATACAAAATCAACATCCCATATAACCATTGTTCCATCTTTGGAACCAGTAGCTAGTTTATTGCCATCTGGAGAAAATCTACAGAACCACACCTCATCGCAATGGTCATTTATTATCTGAGTTGTGTGACAGGGAAATTGATCTCTACAAAAAATAAAATTTGTGAGTTATTATACAAAATAAAAACAATGAGAGCAAAATCTACTTGTCAAAACTTCCAGTTTAAAGGATATGTATGATATCTTCTTCATTATATCTATTCTTAGCACATAAATCTCTATCTGCCCATAATCATATTTTTCCTTTTCTACCGAAATGTCAGATTAGCTGCTCGATTGTCATAACAGAATGTTACGAATTAACAGAATTGCAATCAAGTGAGACAGAATTGCAATCGATTGACACAGAATTAAGTCCTGTCATATTTCTTTCAGTCCCGAATACTGGGGTTGTGTGAGTAGAATTGTGACGTAATTAAACACAACAAACATGTTTCAAACATACATGTACGCTGTAGCCCTAAATTCCCTTTTTCACTCAATTGTCGCTATTTGTGGGATTGACAGAATTTTTATTCCAGAATGGTAAATCGAGTATCCCCAAAGTTTCAGTGAAGTCTGCAGGTGCAATAGATAACCAAATTGACCTTGAAGGAATATATCTTTAAGACAATATTTACTAGCATTTGTCCGATAGCATATGATTTAGTTGAACTTACTTTGTGCATATATGATCTAGTAATAAAGAGAAAGCATCGAGATTTTTATCCATTTTAGTATTGTGGAATGGACATTTGTCTTTCTGCATTTCTACTGCTTGACTTAATAATGTGAGCAGACGACTTGGTGGTAACATCACAGTTGGAGGAAGGAAGGCTACAAAAAGATCATTTTATTGTAAATGTGATAGACATTAACAGACTCGACTGACAAAATTAAGTCAAAATGAGATATTAACACGACAGAAAATCTTCCTTTGCCGCCCACCAAAATTTATAAAAGTATAAAAGAACAAAACAAAATATAGATCTGTATTTTAATCAGATTGAAGTTAATGTCCTATTGAAGTTAATGCCAAAATATGACAAGAAAGATAACTCTACAAAACATGTTTAAATTTCATATATATACTAGAAAGATCATTCTGAAATCTGTCATTGCAAATTTACTACAACAATCAATCAAAAGCTTACTTTGAAGTTTTTCCACTAATTTCTGTCTGGATTCGTGGCCTTTACCAGACCATTCAGACATTTCTCTGAGGTCATTAGCATTGCTGCACATCATATATCTGAAAGATATAAAGACATTCCCAAGTTGTGTATATAGGTTTGAGGTATGTCAGAATCCTTATCATATTCTAATTCAGGACAGCATAAGCAAACCAATTTCCATGAAAATCAGCCCAATTTTAAGTTACATGTTGTTTGTAAAAATATAGAATATCAAGATTGTTATAGTACAGTCAACAAGGTGGATCTAGTTTTCTACTCCAATTATCAATTGCCAACAATAAATTAGACTTCAATGTGAAAAAAATACTTACGAACTAAGTACATGAACCCTTTCGGTATTGTATTTTAAAGGTGTTAATTCATGCCTTAAACAATGTAAAGCATCCATTTCTCTACCCACTTCTAAATATTCTAAATATTTCTGTTCTAGCAACAAAAATTTCATTTTCTGTAAAAGGGAAAAAAAAACAATTCAAGGCACAACAAGCCAAATCTTCACATGAGAAAACCCATGAGGTTTGACAGGCGACCCGGCCAAAACTATGCCACTTGACTCAATGAAAGACTTTATCCATTTATTCCCCGCCCCTTCCCATAACAATTTGAGAATATTATAATACTTACTAGAGTTCCTTGAGGACATTCAACCATATCTTTCAGTTCATTCAAGTCCTGATCAGCCTGAAATAAAATTGTTTGCATTGTACTTCTTGTTTGCTTATTTTTTTTCAAAATACCTGATAGTGATAAGTTGCTTGGTTCAAAATATAGGTTACATTTTGGTATTTGTAGAATCAAGAAGACAACTGCTTTGTATTCTTCTCGACGTTTTGGGTAACTTTTGGGACTTCATGTTCTATTTTCACTATTCCCTTACTTTTTTCAATTAAGTGCATTTACCTTGTATTTACTTTTAATTCAATAATCCAGACATTTTTACTAATCTATCTGTTTGCATGTCCATGAAAATCACAATTAGACTTTTGATTAGACAGAAAAATATTAATATTGGTGCATATATATACATGTTACATGTATGTTAGTGTAAGATTTTACAGGTATGTTTTAAAAAAGCATCCGCAACTGACATCCAAATAAAATAGTATTTGTTATTGTTATTTCAAATCATTAAATAACTTGGCTTTAAAGATTAACTGAAACATCAATCCATGACTGCTGATACTATATCAATTACGTAAAGTTGACCGCTGGAGATTATCTTGCCATTAAATACAACAACTTATATTATTATACTATGACCCTTGTATGACCTATTTACCTCTAAATTAGGTCAAAACAAAAACTCTTCAGGGAATAATGACTGTTTTGAGGATAAAACTTTAAAAGTTCAACTACAAGCGTTAGATATTCTTTTTACTATTTGAAGGTAATAATAATAAATAAGAAATATAAATAATAAAGTCATGTGATATGCAAATGAGCCAGCTGATTCTATAAATAGATATAAACATCATATCAACATGCCTGTTTCTTAGGGTCATCACAATGTTGCCATCATAAAGGCTTAAAGGACACAAAATTGAGACTAGTTTATAATTTTGTACATTTACATAATTAGTTCAGTTTTCCCTTTCCTAAGACATCACATTAATAAAAATAAAACAATATGATCAGGCCTAAGCATAATGTTAGAACATAATGTTAAATCTACCTTTTCCCAATCTCCATCCATAATATGTGCTCTAAATTTAGCAGCAGAAGAATGCTCCAACATACAACCAGACTCGGCTATTAATTGTTCTACAGTGCGACTAAATAAATAAACAAGATGAACAATTCAAAGCATGGGATAAGATAAATGTCCATATTGGGATTGAAGCTTAGAAGTCACACATGTACTGTAAGTCTATGCATGTAGGTTGAAATTAATATTGCAATAATAACATTATTGTACCACTTAGCATATATATGTATATATTTATATAAAAGATTAATCAATCAATATTCTATTTACAATTTATAAACATTACATTACACACTGAAGTATGGCCTAGTCAAGTTAGGGTCAACGAGATATTATTAAACAATATTGTACACTATCAATCAGCATTGCCAATGTGAAAACAACTCAAATGACAAAATGGTTCATATTTTCCCCACTAAATAAATATATAATGTAAACTGGTGACATTAAAATAAGTAACTAGGAAGCAAGCAAAAAATTATAGATGTCCCAGACCAGGAAATGCCCTGGTTAAAAATATCTTACTTGAGGCCCAGTCCACGCAAATGTTGGCCAATTAATCTCACAATATCTTGTTCCGTTCGAGACATTGATTTCATAATGGTGTGATTTTCATCAGATCTCTGCATATTTCCATTTGTAGTGGATAAGCAGGCCCCATTTTGTTGTGAAGTGGTAGCTGACTCCTCCGTCTCTCCATTGTGCTGAGGGCAGCCATTTGCCTGCATGATCATTGAGGCTGACAGTCGTTGCTTTTTGGGCGGTGGAGGCGAAACACCACCGTCTTCGGACTCGGAGGACGATGCCAGTATGTCTAAACTGATATCTATGGTTTGTATTTTTCAGGCAATACAAACCATACAGTGAGAAATAGGACAATTTATCGACTCCGAAACAAGCTAGTCTCCCGTGTCCAAATTTGTTTTGCTTCGTGACGTCACCAAGCTCAGGGAATGATGGGAAATACCAGACGAAAATTTTTGAGTTTTATCAATTTTATTTCGTTTTCCCTGAAATATCTGTCATATAAAAAGTCATACGTTTCAAGAAAAACACAAATTATAATTATTAACTGAGACAAAAACAATATTTTGTGTGTAACTTATAGTTTTACATCAGCTGTCACGACGAAAGCAGACGAATTTCCACCAATGCGTAAAGTAGTCTCCAACAACAAGACTTTTACAGGTGCGCTGAAATTTCAAAACAAACACTAAGTGCGTATTTTCCCGTAAAAGCGTTTGTTGACATATTTTCAAAATGTAATTATTGCCATGTTTTATGGACACACACGCACCAAAATATCATTACAATCAAACAAAATAACTTTAGGGGGAGGAGCCAAACGTAGGCTAATTTCAGCAAAATTTGTTCTGAATACTGTCAAGTGTAAGTAAAAAAAATATTATTAATCGGCATCAAAAAATCTTGTTTATTATACTCATTTCATTATAGCATCCCGGCATCGGCCGAGAAGAACTTTCAGGATTTTTCAAGCCCGTGGGGCTAATAAGAGAAATGTAGGCCTACCTAGTCCTTCGGATAGAACACTCCTCGTCAATCCGTATAGACGCATTGGCGTCAGCGGTGGATTGTCCATGGCGCACGTTGTCTCCAAAGCTTAGGAGTCCCTTAGAAAGTTTAAATACGTGTTTATAATTCTGCGGTTGATTGTAACTACTACAGCACAGTCTCTAAATGCACGAACGAGTACGTTCCTACGGTAATATGAAACGAATTAAATCAACTCTGAGTTCTACTACATGATGCTGGAGACTGGACAGTTTTGCATTGAATCTATATTGTTTACGGTACTTCTATGTTTAATCTCAATCTGATTAAAATACAGATCTATATTTCGTTTCGTTTTTTATACTTTCGATGACCCACACTACATGAAGATCTGACCGGTTGTAACGATAGGTCGCGTCAGAGGTCATACGACCAGCTTTTGACCCTATAACGCCAGACATTTGATTAACCAATGAGCATTGATGTTACTAGTGAATTACCCACAGTTCCGTGCAAAACACGCCTAAAGCTCACCGTAACAGACCGTTTCATTGACTAAGCCCTCGCACCATTCAGAACACGTCAATGATAACAACTCTTCCAGATCCTAGTGTAGTAAAGACAAGTAAAACGAAATTTTGAACTATAGAAACGAAACGAAATAGGATCTGTGTTTTAATCAGATTGGTTTAATCTATATTGTGTATTCAAACGAATTATGAGGCAAATGTTGTATAAATTTAACATATTTGCGGGGAGTGGGGGGGGGGGGTGCATCTACTTGGGTTAGCCAGGGTCCCATTCTTCTTAACCCGGCACTGATTGGCGTGCACATAAAATTCAATAACTATTGTCAAATAGAATTCGATGATAAGTAGACCGGAATAATCACGGGCAATAATCTCGCCTCAAAATGTACACGTAAACTAAACAATGAAATATGAAAACTACCATTTATGACCGAAGTATTGTGTTGACGAGACGTTAAACCCTATTTCAACCCATTTTGGACTAATGAAGACGGACATGCGCCATGCAGTGTGCTATGAGAGAAATTTTACGCGGGCCGCGGTGCTATTGCCTACTCTTATTTCGAAGGTTCTTTTACGTGCACGCCGATGTGTACACGGGACGCCGGTTTTCGTCTCATCCGAACGAATATACGTTGTGCCTTGCCAAGCCCTCCGTCCTACACCACACCGTAAAATCCCCATGAACTTTCCTCGGCCAACGCGGGGATCGAACACGTTAGCGAGCCAACGCCCTCTTCACTAAGCCACCTTGGCTTCCAGTAGCACAATAAAGTTATTGATATAAAGTTGAAAAACTGTTTCTCTTTCCACGGGGAAAACTACCATTATCAAAAAACTTAATTTTGGCTATATTTTTGCGGGTCCATATTTTTCAATGACTAAACTTTTTATCCACGAAAACCACGCCGATGCCCAGTAAATAAAGTATATGTATAATTAATAGCTTTTAAAATAATAGGCACAATACTGTTAAAAATTCATCTGAGTTTTGATCTTCGACAGATTTTCGCAGAACTGACTTTCAAACATTATTATTTTTCTTATTATAAAGAAGGTTAAATTTGTATATTTTACTCTTTTAACGATGTAAAACATGCCCGATTACATAACAAAACAGTCCACATTTGGCGTCTAAAGATCTGTACACCCTCAGTGTTGGCCGAGAAATCACATATATAAGCCGTATTCCATACCTTCATTAGCCAGAAAGGTAGAAATAGAAGACCCTCTTTCAATTTATTTCTTATTTTGTTTTGAAGACTAGTCAACAAACTCGCCAATCCAATAGTTAGTGATGGTATACGGGGAATTTTCTCTAAAAGCTGTATATATAACTCCCTGATAATATCAGTGTCGTCAACAAGATTGCGCAATTGGGTTCGGGGCACGGGGATTCCCCAGATTTTATACGCAATTTCGAGTTAATCTGAATATTAGCATCGATTATTAAGAAAGAAAACTTGGCTTGTGAAGCATGGATGTGGACAGTGTCAAACCAATGGAAATTAATATGAACCGAAGAAATCCAATAATGGAAATTTGGTAGCAGGTGTTTATAAATATATTTTTAGGTAATTTGTTATATTGAGCATTATGACCTTTATAGTAATAAATATACAGTATGCTGGAATTAGAATTTAAAACAGAATTTAAGTTTTAGAGCCAAATGTACTTAAAATTGTAAAAATTTCTCAGGGACTTTGCTTCTACTGATAGCTAGGGATCAAATAGAAATGGTTCCACAACTGATGTCTTCCGTCTTGCTCCAGCCACAGTCATTTGCCCCCCCCCCCCCCCCCATTAATCTGGTCTGCCCTCTGTTTGCCCCCCCCCCCCCCCAATAATTTTAGAAAATAAAAAAAAGTATTTGCGATACGTTTCGGTAATCAATACCTTCTACGGTGAATAAATCCCACATCCCCACTCAGTCATAAACTTGCATGTTGTAGAGCATTTCCGACAGTGTATTTTTCAAAATTTTCTTGGCGAGGTCCCCAATGGACTCGATACTTTGGCGCTCACAAGGGGAATTCGTTGAGGTTCGCAAGGCCGTTCGTTTGACATTTTGTTCTCTAGTCGGATAAACTAGTGATCAGGCGACGAACGTATCTGGGCAGATCTATTTATCTCGATGATCGGTGCCTGACAGAATACTGTAAGACAGCATTTCCGGCCGTCTATTTTTCAAAATTTTCTGGAGGAGGACTCCCTACTTTGACACTCGTGAGTGGGCTTCGTCGTGATTCGCAAGTCCGTTCGTTTGACACTTTACCTCATCGATCAGTGCCTGAAATACTGCCAGGCTGCATTTCCGGCAACCTGTTTTTCAAAATTTTCTGGGGGAGGCCCCCTACTCCTAGTTGAAGCTCGTGCCTTTGCCCTCTTAACCTTGGACTTTGCCACAGCTTTGCCCCTCCAATCACCGACGGCTGGCGCCGCCACTGGCCACAGTAGTGGACTGTCCTAAGACGTTCCTTTGAGTAAGTTTTGTAGTCATTTGACTGGCCTATAACTCCCTTAATTTCCAATTACACTGACCCCAAACTGTACTGTCCATAGCTTAACATATTATAAATCAATTCCCATTGAAATAAAGGTGAAACCTTACCGTATAATTATATGATTTGATTAAACCCAACTGCTAGGCGAAATTTCTGTTCATTTTTAAATGGCCGCCGAACCAGAATCACGTATTATCATGTCACTCGAAAATACAGAAAAACTGTTTGGTAAGATAAGATTAAGACTTCAGTGTTCCACTCTTCACTATTTTTAACATACTTTCTTATTTCCATGCAAACTGTGATGATATTTGTGAAAATTTGGCAATTGAACCTAATTTTACTTGCTCAAAGCCTCGAATAGTGTACCAATTGTAGGTGTGATTAAGAATTATCACCCCTATTAATGAGGACATGGCTATCTCCGCCAATAATGGTTGGATTTTCATGATCTGAAGTTGATTCTCGTGTTCTTTAATCATGTCGACCCCGTCTATGATACACTTAAAGCGATTGGAAGTAGTTTCCACGACCGACTCCATGGCAATCTCTGCCAACAATGGTTGGATTTTCATAATCTGAAGTTCATGCCGATCTCATCTATGATACACTTAAAGCAAGTGGGAGGAGTTTTCATTGAATTCCGATGGGGAATACCAATTTCCGATGTCTCAGCCTACCCTTTTGTTGGATTTTGAAGCATGGTAAAATGATTAATATGGTCACTTTTGGGTGACTGGAATGTTCTGTCATGAAATTCAAGACACTTTGACATTTGTAACAAGTAAACAAGTTTAATAAAAAAAAACAAAAAGAATCTTAACAAGCCAGACGTCGCCAGAAACGAAACAAAAAGATCCTATCTTGGAAATAAATATATCAGTTATTAATCATCCTCGTCCTCCTGCACACCCCTAATGATATTGACACGGTCCCTATCAAACACATGCAGAAAGATGTATAAGGCAGACCATTTTTAGCAACTGCATCGCCCTATGCAGCCTGTTTTACAATCACATTTTGTGAGTTCAATTACAGCACGATGGACAGGCAGATCAAGATTCGGCACAGGAACATATATGCCCTTGTCCAACTGCCAGCCGTTGTCGTTAAATGGCAGGAAGGTTCAAGGATCGGGTTAGGTACGACTTGTCGCGTATCGCGATGTACTTTGTTCCTGTGATATGGGGCGACAATGCAACACGAGTCAGCGGAAGCATCTCTATCTCTCCCAAGTTTTCTGAACTAAACAATTGCCATCTAAGTGCCGGTAGGTTTAATTGAACAGATGAAGAGTAGACTTGGTAGGCCTCTCCGATTCCTTGACCTACGAAGGCAAGTCACCCTTCTCCAAACTTCTTGAAACAGATGATAACAGGGTCATCACCATCAAGCT